GAACTATGTTATTAACGAAGCTATGATATGAAATAAGAGAGAGTAACCTTGGGAAATAAGGGAGAGTTGTGGAGTATGCAATAAGCAGGCAAGAGACAATACAAGAGCACAGGAATTGAGCTTAGACCTCCCATGCAAGAGGAAAGATAAACCAATCGCTGTCGGAATCTTATTTTTTGGTGAAATATTCCGATCAGCGGACTTTGTTTGTTGAACAAGACTTCAAACCCGCCGGTTATCCATCGCCGCCACTGGAGGAACCCCTCTAGTCCTACTAGCGGCATACAGCCTAGAAACGCCGGTGGATCCGAAGAAATAAATGAACTACTCCATCCTCTCGAATGGATTTCTATACTTGTGTTCAAGTCTTCCACTATTGAATCATATAACCAACCTATCTGCACGATTCATATATGTAATAAAAATGCGTTTTTATGGACCAAATGTCTCTAATTTCTTGTTTGCCTTAATTTAGACTATATTGATTAAAATTATAAGTCAATTACTGTTTTCCCCCAGCTAGTTTCGTACTCATAGTGAGAATTTCCAACTTCTTTGGCCGCTTGTGTGGAATTTGTAAGCTCATTTTGGGGATTTGATTCTCTTTGTAATGCGCTGACCACCGATTTCACAATCGCTTTAGAATTTCCAAATTCTCTAGTTAAACTCTCTTGAGTCAAAATACTCCCTAAATGAAATATCAACAAGAGCCGTGAATGATTAGATTAATGGTTTAAAAAAAAAAAGAATTGTATGATGGATGAAAATTAGAACATGTATCAAAAGAATGTTAGAATAGTGAAACTATTTGAACTTGATAACTTATTTTCATAATGACATATAATAATAAAAAATGTTTTAAAATAGGCATGAAACTTTGGTTTAAAATCAATTCAAAAAAAAAAACGGGGGTTTAAATTATGTTTTGAAGAAATATATGAAAGTGTGATATACCAACAATCTCTTATGATTTTTTTCCAGTGGTACTTACTTGTAGCAGCTGAAGAAAGACTTCCATCAACTTCTAAATCGTCCGGAGATAGACCGTACATAACTCTTCTAGTGTGGAAGCATCCCGACCCTTCATATATCGGTCCTTGGATTCCCGCAACTCCTCGTCCTCTGTACTGTTTTCCAGAAATTAAATTTAAAAATGAAAAAAAAAGGTTTAAGTATTGATTGATAAATAACATCAAATTCGTCAAAATTATAAATAAACAAAAAGGAAGAAATCGCACTGAGTGTAACATGGCGACTTCATAGGCGTTAGAATCATAGAAAGCTTGAGGGAATTGAACAAAAGCACAATGGTTTGGAGTCATTGATTCTTGCAAAAATATACACATTGCTTGTCGCACCACATCTGCTTCATTTGCATACATGTCACAGTCTACATTCAGCATGTACGGTGCATTTGTCATCAACCCCGATACTCTTACCTGGTCAAATTATCAGATGCTCCTCGCATTTTTCAATTAGTAATATAACAACAACAAAAAACTAAGATCTACAAACATTGCTAGTTGTTCAATACGGCTTGTCATATATATGATGTCTCAATTCTCAAAGTAGTCGATAACTCATATATAGGCGAATGATCGTAAGATATTTATCACATGATAAAATATCAAAATCTCAAAACCGACGTAACCATGATTGTTTACTTTTACACGCATGCTTAATTA